GCTGAACACGACCATGTACTTTGGCGTGTGAAGAGCCTCAGACTGCCATATCACCATCATCAGGAAAAAGTTCCCTAGAAGCGTTCCGATGTAAAGGATACCCAAGAACATGAAATAATAGTTAGTGTCCTTCAGGCCCTGAAAGCCCATAATGAAAAACCCAAATGGCTGGTAAATTGTCGTGTTCTCCTCCATGGATTTTAGTTCATTAGAACTTTCTGGATTTTCTTCCTTAAAATGCTCCTGATTTATTTGGTTAAGCAAGCAGCTGGAAAGAATAACAGAGACGCTTGGTAAATGATTTATCAGAAATATCTTTTTCCTGTCCTGGCACCCATCTCTGTAATAAGACAGGGATGCAGTGGCACAGAAATGCTGGTCCTTGGTTGTAGAGGGAATGATAACATTTCATTCTGGGTCTTTATATACATCTGCTGGTTAAGATAAATAAAACATGTACTTTCTCTGTAATGCAAGAGTGCCCCCTTGTGGATGCTGTGAGGGATCAGCGTTCCCTTGACAATTTTTGCAATGACAGCAGTTACAAAAAAAAAACAGAAAGTATATTGCATCATTTTTTACTTTGAATTTATTAGTGTAATGTGACCAGTTGGTGGCACTAAGCCCAGAAAAGGATGATAATGGAGGTTTACTGCTATGTTTTTTATCCATTTTCCCAGAGATTCACAAGTCATTGCTTACATTGACTCGTTCCAAAAATATGTCTTAGCGAGTTGGGTCACATACGGACTCAGTGAGTTTCGGTTCTCAACACTAACATATAATGAGGAAGCCTGACTTTAGGTCACTGGTGGTCTCATCTCAAAATATAAAAAAATACTGAGTAAGTTTTGGAAATTGGCTCTTCACATGTGCTTTAAAAAGCCATTTACAGTGTTAGGCACATACATGCCACTAATATACCAAAGAATGTGCTTAAGACTACAATTTAAAAACAAGCATAAATATTAAATAAATGTTTTTCTCCCAAAGGACACTTTAATTCTGCAGTAAGTAATGCCAGTGAAGTCTTCAAGCAATGTAAGGTACATAAGTCTGAGGAGCAGAATTATGTGCACTAATCATGCTTAAACATAATCAAATCAATAATGTTTTTTTAATTAGCATTAAATGAGGTTAAGACACATGGGCACAAGTTTTGTATTTATAATGATGTTAATTTCAAGATAAAATACTTTATTGATCCCAAGTGGAAATTTTTCTTTTGTATATAACAGTAAGGTTTATAACATGCACAAGTACAAAAACACAGTGCAACAACAGAGAGGAATATAAGCGCACACACACATTCACATTCAGGCATGCATGTAAAAAGCATGCGGCCCCTTGTTTCTCAATGC